TACATTGCAATGACTTACCTGATCTAGGTGCTAGAGCCCACTGTAACTACATAGCCAAGTATATATGATTTTATATACTTCAGCTTCAACCATAACAACACAAGAGCACACAATAGATACAAACTCAAGGTTAACCGTACCAAACTTGATTGCAGGAAATACGACTTCAGCAACAGAGTGGTCAATGCCTGGAATACTCTACCTGACTCTGTGGTTTCTTCCCCAAACCCCAAAAACTTTAACCTTAGACTGTCTACTATTGACCTCACCCCTTTCCTAAGAGGTCTGTAAGAGGCGTGCATAAGCGCACCAACGTCCCTACCATGCCTGTCCTATTGTTTCTTTTATTTTTCTTATATGTACCCATTTCATGTATTCATAACTATGTATATACTTATACCTATTATCTTGTAAGCGATTGACAAATCAAAATAAATAAATAAATAAAAATAAAAAAGAGTTCTAATAAAAAACCCTGCCTATATGCAGAAAGCTGGGCAGAGCAGGATTCAAAAGATAAAAACCGAACACTTTTGTGGGGTTTAGCTGAAGCTGGACTAAAATCCCCATGAAATGATCTTGAATTGTTTGTGTTGGCTGCTGCTTGGGGAGATTTTATGCTGTTCTGGGAGAGGACACAATACAACCATTCTTTTTGTCAGGAAAAGTTTTTTGTTGATCTGCCAAATGTCCACTTATTATTGCACAGGAAATAACATACTTAACTGAATCATTAAAATAATAGTCCAGAGAAGAATTTATGCCCCACAGAGCTTTTTAAAAACTATGTGGATTGATAAGTTACCAAATTGACCATTCCATTGTAGGAAGTTAGCACCCACCCTTCTCTTAGAAAATTGAAATATCCTAGGAAATATTAAAAAGACAGAATATTTCCCCTAAAAAGAGTAGAAACTCAGAAGCAGAAACTCACCCCCACCTTTGTTAATGGGTGGGCCATTAAGGCCTGGGCCAGAATATTTTACATAACAAAGATCTCCAGGTAAAGCTATAGCAATTGCCCAAAGCCCTTTCATTACATCATCTTCCAGCAAGGCTCAACCAAGCCTGGGACTCAGGACAGCCTACAAAGTTGCCCCTGCATGGCCCCATGGGAGTCTGACAACCAATCAGAATACAAGCTCAATTTCAAATCCCAACAGAGGGTATATAAGGGAGCATCTCAGCCCTCTCTTCTTTTCCTTTACCCAACATCTTGAAGCATGTGATTGTCCTTTTCACTTTGGAGCTCCAAGCCATGTGGTCCTGTCCACCATTACACCATCTTTCCAAACAGCCTCCATGTTTCCAGTGTCTTTTTCCCCACTTGGAACTGAACCCAGAAGGATAATTCTTCCGACACCATAAATGTAATCCCAAGGAATGGAAGCTTAATAGTTGCATTGTTTAAGAAAGGGAATTGGGCGGATCTTAGAAACTACTGTTAGTCCTCGCTTTACAACTGTTTGCTTAGTGACCGTTCAAAGTTACACCACCGAGAAAGTGACTTACGATCAGTTTTCACACTTATGACCATTCCAGAATCCCCATGGTCATGTAATCAAAATTCATACGCTTGGCAACTGACTCGTATTTATGACGGTTACAGTGTCCCGGAGTCACATGATTCCCTTTTGCGACCTTCTGACAAGCAAAGTCCATGGGGAAGCCACATTCACTTAACAGCCGTGTTACTAAGTTATCAAGTGCAGTGATTCACTTAACAACCGTGGCAAGAAAGGTCATAAAATGGTGCAAAGCTCACTTAACACTTAGTCTCACTTAGCAACAGCAATGTTGGGCTCAATTCTGGACGTAATTAATTAATTAATTCAATTGATGCCTCAGAAGAAAATTGCAAAATTATTTCTCCAGAAATCGGAGGATTGGACAGAATGAACAACCATCTTTGCAAGACTAGTGTTGGACCTGCAAGGTCATCCCGTCAGGTGCAGCGAAGTAAAGTCCTAAAGCAGCATTAAGAAATGGTGCTGGGACAATGACCCAAAGTGTCTCAGTAGGAAGGAAGGAAGGAAGGGAAAGGGATTTAAGATAAGAAGAAGTTCAGGTGGGCCCTGGAGGGAGGTCATTTGGGAGGGATGCTACACATCCTGAGACCACATCAGTAGAGAGGGGTGTTTTGCCAAAATGCCCATCATTGCAAGTGGCAAGCAGGAGATTGTTCCCCAGAAATGAAACTATGAGAAATAGAAGGCAGAGATGCCCTGGTCTGTACTGGGAGCAAGTGGTGGGTGAAAGCAAGAGTCTGGAAGCAGAGGAAGTGGGGGGGGGGGAGAAATCTAGGGAGGGAAAAGCCCTCCCTCTGGACCCCCAGCAGGTGCCGAGGGACTGAGCGGGTGTGAATTTTTTCAGTACTACACTGTTTTCTGTTTCCATGATGAACCTGTTGTGTTGTAGGGAGCAGATGTGAAATTTCACAGGACTTTACACATGGAAATCTATTTTCACACTGCGGTGGACTGTCTTTTATGGAAGAAGGGGATCTGCAATCCGCTGCTAGAGATCAATCAACAAAGCCAAGTGGGAGATTTAAAATGGAAGAAAACAAAGGACATCATTAGTCTGTGGAAGTCATTTTCCCACAGCTTGGATGGCCTCCAAAGTGGATTGCATAGACGCGTAGAAAAGAGGCTGAAGAACTCTTGGTGCTACAGGCTCAAAATTAGTTCCAAGTGGAGGTCGAAGATTCTCTGGCATCCAGGCAGAATTGCCTGAAAGTTCAGTCACGGCAACTGGATTTCTTTTCTTTTTTGGTTTGAAACATTTTGCTATGGAGAAGAGCAAACATTTCAAACCCAAGAATCAGATGTTTCCTGGTTGGCAAGTCTCCAAATCCCATAATGATGGCAGGCAAGAATTCCAGGGGAGTTATAGGTCTTGGCTCCTGCTTATCAGCATCCCAAAAGCACCTGGAAGGCCGCTGTGGTGAACAAAACGTCAGGCTTTGGACTGAACCGCAGGCCATTGTCTCCTTGATGGTGCCGGCTGTTTTAGAAGAGATAAACATTAGACTTGTGAGAATTTTTTGGGGGGAAAGAAACCAGAATATGCTTTATCTCATACAGCCGTCAACGGCTTCCTTTGTACACTTAAAGTCTTTGCCCAAAGAGAGAATCACGTTGTTCAACTCATTTGAGAACAATGTTAAGCAATTGCACAATTGCAACTTATTTTTATTAGAGAATAAAATGTACAGATTACACATGCCAAAGAGAGAAAGCTATTTCTCCAACTCATTCCAGCTGTTCTTCATGTAAGTCTTGATTGATTGCAATCGCTGGGAGCTCTGCCAGCTCACGTTCACAGTGCACATTTGGCACCTTTTTGGGGGGATGTTCTTGCCTGATTGTTGGACCAGTGGCATTCAGGTAGTGCTGGCATCGTGCCAGGATTTCAAGGACCATTCTATTGGGGTCCTGCTGCATCTCATCTGGCGCTTTCTATATTTACCCCAGCCTTCTTTCCTTTGTCTGCACCCAGCCAGAGATCCAGTTTCCTCTCAGGGGGAAACATGGGCAGCTGGCTCCTTGGAATAAACCCAAGACAAGCTGCTGCTTGAGGTTGGGCTGGCCATTTTGAAACTACTGTACTTTTAGATGTCCTTCCTTCAGTAGCAAAACAGCATCTTCCATTTAGGTTCAGCATCTCTCCCCTTTCAGCACCAGGACAGCCATTTTCTGGCAATATTTCAGTAGCAAAGGAGGAATATAGGAACAAGAGAGAAGAGTAAGGGATTTCACTGACTGGTAGCATCTTCCTAACATGGCATTCACAAAGCTCTCAGTTCCTGTTCAGTGTCTTGTGTGTGCCCATGGCTTTTCTGTCATTCTCCTGCTCTGCTCAGAGATTTTGAATGGTATTGCCATGGAACTATCACAAACATGTCCGTTACAATGGATCTCCTCTTGCTATTGTTTCTATAGCCAGATACATATAAAGGGCAAATAAAGGCACAGGTTGCAGAAGTGGGAAATGCTAGCCTGTTTATTGGTGCTTCAAGGTCAGTTTCTTCACCTGGCCATCTTTATGTTCCCCTTCAAGAGAAGTGTTTCCAACCACTACTGGTACCACTGATTTGCTGTATATTGGGGAAGCGGGAGCAGAGAGAAACCCCCAGAGAGAATAAATTTCCAGTAATTTGTGTGGTGATGGTCTGACACAACCTTTTTAACAAGGAGCTTGCCCAAAATTGCCTGTACGTTTTATGCTTCTATTTCTTTGCTACAAGATGCCCCCTTTTAGTCCCTCCAACCCTGGCCTCTCTCAAAGGCATGGTGGCACTGAAGCTTGGGCGGCCCAAGGTTGTGTAAGGTAGGATCGATTCCCTGAATTTGGGAGAGAAAAAGGCTTCTACTTCTGCAAAGATGTTTTTCTTTTCTTTCCACCAACCCAAAATTAAAAAGCAAGGTAACTCGGGCAAAGCCAAAAAGCATTTATTAACGGGGATCAAGTTATTTTACAGGCTACAGAAGCAAGTGATAGAGACATTTGGTCTCCACGGTAGGTTCAAAAGCAAGTCATTAAAGAATAAGGCACTGGCCGCACGAGAGAACCGAGCACCAGAAATCCCCCATTCCAGTTTCTTAATTTAGCTGGGCGCGTGTTGGGGGAGCTCCCCGCTCTCGCTGAAGGGACACTTCGCGGGCTTTTAAAAGCGGCTTTGGTTCGTTAGGCGCAAACGGTTCCCCCAACTTCAGAGGCTGAAAGGCGAAAAAGGCCTGGCAGCCGGGCACCCTCGGAATCCCGCTCCCCTCCTCCAGGCCGCCTTCGGCCCCTCGCCCAGCCTCCTTCCTCCTCCTCCCCGCGAGGGCTGCCGAACGAGCCCCGGGCACGAGACCTCCGTCTCGCCGAAGCCGCCTCTCTAGTCGGGCGGCCTTGCAGCCACCGGGGGAGGAGAGGGGGGGGGGGAGAAACGCCCCCAGCACCGGAAGCGGCGCGCTCGGGTGACGCCATCGGTGCGTGCGGGCAGTGACGTTTCTCCCGCGCGCCGCAGAGGGCCGGGCGCCGCTGGCGAAGGCGCCATGAGGGTCGCGCCGGGCCGCGCCAAGAACCCGGAACCGGCCGCGCCGCCTTTTGCTCTGTCCAGCTACCTGCTGGTAAGCCGCTCTCCAAGAGTCACAGGAGGCCCCGGGGAGGCTCTCGGGCCTGTCCTCGCGGGAACCCCGGGCCCTCTTGGGTCGCTCGCGGCCGGTCCCGCCCGGCTGGTTTCTGGGGGAGGGGGCGGCCCCCTCCCTCCCTCCCTCGGGAGGCCCTGAGCAGAGCCCACCTGGGAGGGCCGGGTGGGTCGGGCAGGCGCCGAGGAATGCAGGCTGGGAGCCCGGAGAGCTCCCCGGGGAAGGAGGCTGTTGGGCTGGCCGGCCGCTCTTGCCGCCCCGAGTGGCGTGTCCGCCAACAGCTACAGTCAAGGCTGGCCAAGAAGGGCATCCTCTCTGGCGTCTCCTCTGCGAGAAGGGAGCCGGGTCCCTCCGCTGCTCTTTCCCCAGCACTGCCTGGCTCTCCTGCACCCCAGGAGACCCTCAACGCAGCCCGGGACCCCCCCAGAAATATACTTTAAAAATTCAGAAAGAGTAAAAAGGAAGTAGAAATGACTTGCTTTCTCCGCCTTAAAAATGTACACTTAATAGGATGAAAACACGTGAAAGAATAAAACAGACATGCTATTCGAAATAAAAGTTTCCAGTTCACCCATTTCTCCTCTCTAGAGATTTACAGCCTCTTTCCTTTTGTTTCTGATGCACCACCATAAAATACTTTTTGTGGGAAAGGAGGGATTAATACAATCCCTACAACTTGTGGTAACTGCCTTGTATTTTTCTTTGGTTATTCAGGCTGCCTTTTGTTGACATTTAGTTCTCGGATCTTATAAATGAAGTTGTTAGTGGGAGAGTAGAAACATTTCTCAAAACAAAATTCTCTTGGAATCAGAACCGAAAGGAACCTTTGGGCTTTCTAGTCCAACCCCCTACTCAAGCAGGAGACCATAGAGTACCATTTGGCAGAGTTGGATTCCCAGCAGATGTTAGGAATACTGCAATCTAATAATATTTGGAGAATATTTGTAGCTCATGGTTGAAATTAGAGGTCAGTGATATCCTCTGAGCTTGGTTGTTTTCTTGTAGATGTTTAATTACCTCAGCTAGATAACACCATCAGTGCTAATTCCAGAGAGCAAACCTTACTCCCTTTTACCACTGATGACATTAACCTAATTTGGGTAATGAAACGACTGCAAGAAAAGAGCCAAGCTCAGAAAGCACCAAGGACCCCTCATACTGGAATCCCCCACGTGTCTCTTTTGAAAGGCTCTTAGAAAGGCCTGGTGTGTATCATCTGCCAGCCCAAATGGGGCATAGTATACACCTGGATATAATATACACCTGGGCATAATATACACCTGGAACAATATCACCTTTTTGCTCTCCCCTTGAAGTGTTACTTAAAACGCTCTCCATAGTCCAGGTTGTTAAGTTGTCTGTGAGGACAAGTGCTTTTTATGGGCATTGCAACCCTGCCCCCTTCCCTCTTTCTGTTGAATCTTGTTTAAAAAAAAATTGTAACCTTTGACGACTGCGTTCCAGTCAGGTGTCATATCAACAAGATTCAGTTAAAGCCTGCAACATATTTGTTTCCTCTGTCGGGATTTCCAGTTCTCTCTGTTCTTCATATTGTCTGTATTGCTGAAGAAACCTTTGAAATTGTGAGTAGGGGGCCCTGTGGGTTTCAGTGCCAGTTTCTTAAGCCCCCTCACACCCTCAGACTTCTCCCTTTGTCTCCTGTGTTGTTAATCTCAGGACACAACATGTTTGGCAAATAAGTTAGCCTTGGCACCAGAGTTGGTTCTGGGGTCTGACCCTCCTTATTCTTTTGCTCTGGTTTACTACCTGTCTAATGAAATTGGGGAAGCACTTGCTAATCCAGAAGACCTTTCTGATCTTCCTGAAGGGCAGCCTGTGTGCTTCCAGGATCCCTTCATGTAAGTCAGTGGCCCCCAACCTTTTTTGTGCCGCGGCCCGATGCCAGCATCACAAAATGATCCGCGGCCCAGTACCGGCATCAGCACGCATGACAAGGCAAGGTGAGCCGAGCGACCGGCCAGCCAGCCGTCCCCCGCTTCTCCCCGCCACCTTCAACTCCTCCTTTGTACCTTTGTCGATGGGCTTCACTTTGGGATGGCTTTGGGACGGTCGCTCGGCTCGCCTTGCCTTGGGTGCTGAAAGAATCCTCGCGCCTTAGTTTCGTTTGAAGCCACCCCCTTCGGTGAAACTAAGGCACGAGGATTCCTTCAGGACCCAAATGCCGCTTTCCAACCGGAAAAGCTCACCCGGAAGCACTTTCTCGTCAAACAAGATGGCGGTGCCCAGCAAACCGGCGGCCCGGTAGGAAATGTTCCACGGACCGGTACCGGTCCACGGCCCGGTGGTTGGGGACCCCTGATGTAAGTAACACCATCCATGGTGAGGATGCAACTGTTCTTGGCTGCACTGCGAAGTAATGCATCTGTGCAGCCAGTTGTTCACTTTCAGGATCTGGTCCTTCCTTAAGCTATTATATCCACAACTGAAAGGATTCACAAAAACTGTCCTTGCCCTCTCAGTTTCCCCCTCCTTCTTGCCCAGGGCCTTCTTGTGTCTGAAGATCTGTGTGAGTCATCTGGAAGGTTTGAAGAGTTGGGGCAGCCTGTCACATCCTGGATGCAGTCTTGAAAGAGATGATTTCTCCTGTAATGTCCTGTCAGGCCTACAGGCTGTGGCTTCAGTTCTTCCCAGCAGGGAATTGCCCACTGCTGCCTGTCCTTTCTCTTTCCCTTTCTGCTAATGTCCACATTGCAGTGACATTAGACATTGAATGCAGGGTAGTTGTCATGTCTTATGTTTTATTATAAACTAGCCGATAACCCGGCATTGCCCAGGTATTTATTTATCCCAATCCTGTATTACACAGGAAAATCCTGTAGTCGGGGCTCACACTGTCGTACTGTCTGCCACGCAATTCTTCTGTTCCTCCATAAGAGGGTGTCCTGTGAAGCCATTACCATGGCAGAAGCCATTTTAAGGCACGCACCCCCACCCAAAAGGGGTATTAGGGGTGTCCTACCCCCACAGTACTTGTTTTGAGAGGGTAAGTCATCTGTCTTCTGGCAAAACTACTTTCAGGCAAGAAAGCAGCATGCTTTTCTCTGATGTAAAGTGTTTCTTTTCTACTGTGTAAAAAGGGGAGGCAGAAAGTCTATGCATTTGCTGGCTCACAAGGAGAGTAGACATGGGTCTCGGGCAGAGGATTATTGGCAGGAAATTTTGAGGTTTCTGGTACACTGTTGCCAAGGCCAATATAACTGTAGGTATAACTGCCTTAAACCAGCCCTGATTCTGCTATAAGGAACTAGCGAGAGTTATTGTAAAGAAAACGGCATTGGAAACCTCAATTAAGACTTAGGTTGTATCCCAGCAGCATATTTAGGGTTTGTTTACCAGCAGCTTAAGTGGTTTCTTACAGGAAAATGGAATTAAAACATAATTTTGTATAAAATTCTGTTTCAATTAAGAGAAACAGAATTGCTGCTACAGTTCTCATCCAATTCATATTTACTGTGGTTCTGGGTTGCTTAAATGTTGAAATCAATTAATATGGTGATTGTATTGCTATGAAGGAAACATTTGCCAGAGATTTAAATAGTTTCGTTGCTTTATCTCAGAAAAGTGAATTGATAGGGTCTCCTGCTTGAGCAGGGGGTTGGACTAGAAGACCTCCAAGATCCCTTCCAGCTCTATTCTGATTGATTGATTGATATATATTCTTTTCTGTTTGAAACAGGCTAATTTAAAGGCTGACTGTCTGAACAAGCCTTTTGCTCAGCGGTGCCATGACCTCACGACAATCATTGAAGATTTTCCTGCCAAGGTAGGAAGCTTGCCCCTAGCCAGGGCCTCTGATAATACATTCTGCCTTCTTTCAAGGAAGAACAGGCCCTTCTGCTTTCGGACTAAGGCAAGGTCTGAATAGGGAGAATTAAAAGGACACTGCCTGGAAAGCAGCGATGGGCTGTGACCGGTTCTAGCGAACCAGTAGTTCCGGTGAGCAGCTAGCCCCGTCCACTCGCCCCTGCTCTTCCCTGTCCTGTATTTCCCTATTTTTTTTTTAGCTCAGCTGATACGCGCAGCACAGCGGATGGCCGCGCCTCAGTGCTGACACAGAAGGCACGTTTTTAAGCTTAAAATGGGTGGTTTTTGAACGCTGCGCGTGCGTGCAAACCACACATTAGATGCACGCGCAAAGTGCACACTCACTGAACCGGTTGTTAAACCGGTTGCGGCCAACCACTGCTGGAAAGTCCAGAGAGGTGATTTAAGAGGAAGCCCTTTCATATTTTACCTTGAAATCAAGATTTTTTTTTTTAACCAGGCTAATTAGACCGAAAAAGGAGTGGAAGGAGAACCAAAATGGGGCTCTACATAGAAAAAGTGATGATGAAGAGACAGGAAGCTCTAACGGTGACCTGCAGTGCTTGTGCCATGTTTGTTTTCCTACCTGGAAACAACTCGGCGTCTTTTTGTAACAAGCACAAACTTTCAGCAGCCCTGGAAGGAGCAGTGAGCGGCCGTGCTTCAGCCAATAGGGAAGGACAATTGTTCATTAGGTGTAAAACTATAATTGTGTGTGGAAATGAGCTTGGACACCAGAGGAAGAGCTGCAGGCCAGCCAGTGGTCAGGTAATAGGCACCTGAGCCTGCAGAAGCAGGGGAGGGGCAGGCATGGCAAGCATCTCACAAGGGCCCTTCCCCGTTTCTTGGACTATAAAGGCAAGAGGAGAGGGTGCTACTTTCAGATTTGCTTCTCTTACTGTAACCTTGCAGTAAAGTCAATACTAGTTGTTCTGGGGGTGCTTCTTGTCTGGGCGACCTCACACGGTGGACAAGAACAGAAACTGATCCTGGAAACAATTCTCCATAAGTTAGGTTGATTGTACGCACTGGCTTCTGACGGGTGTTGTTGCCCGCATGGAAGCAGGATCTGGGACTTGACTGACAATTTCTAGAGCTTCCCACGGATGCATGCAGAGACAAACGATACTGCAAAGAATCAGAAATAAGCTCAAGAACCTGTGGGCTTAAGTCGTATTTTCATCCATCCTTCCAAACCATGAAAAAGAACCAGAAAGGGATTTTAAAAAACAAAAACAAAACTGTTACAAGTATAATTCTGAAAATCACGTCCACTTGAATAGCTGTCGAGGAAATCACAAGGATCAACCATCCTTCAACTGATACTAATTAATAAGGGGAAAGTTTGTGGAAGTAAAAATAGCAGGAACTTTGAAGGAAAGGTCCCCCGTGGTGTTTGAGATCCTGCTTGTAAGACTAATGGGAATAAAGTAAGCGGGTGAAATTGGGCTTCAGAAGAGTGGATTTTAGCAAACTCAGAGCCTTAGGATCCCCGGGGAAAAGGAGCTCAGGGTAGGTGGGGTTCTCCAAGAAGGGGAGGCCAGGGAGCACCCCTGCAGTCAGTTCAGGAAAGAAGAGGGAGGGCGGCAGAAGAAGCTTAGTGAACCCCTGAAGACATCCAGGGAGTCCTCAAGTTATGATGCTAATTGGGACCAGAATTTCCGTCACTAAGCAATGTAAAGCGTGGCATCTTGTGACCATATCGCTTAGCAACAGCAATCCCAGCTGTCACTGTAGCTGTTAACCGAATCCTGCGTATCATTAAGTGAGGACCCTCGCGCACGTGTGTGATTCTAATTATAAATAAAAATAAAGCCAGAGTTTGAAGGGATGGTCAAAGTTTGTCTGTCTTCTGCAGCTGGTGCTCTTCTGTCCACTAGTGTTCTGACCCAAGCCTTGTTCTAATCAAACAAACACAAATTGTTCATAAAAACAAACCTCCTTTACTGCGGCACTGAATTCTACGCATTCATAGCCAAGAGTTATTTCCAACTAATTGCTCCCAGATAAGAGCCATCCCTTTCAAGGTTGCAAAAGGCTGCCAAGAACAAAAGACTAATTGCAGATAAATATCCCAAGCCAGAAGTTTCCAAAAACAAACCGGAGGATGAGAACTCCTGAGCATAAAGAACTTCTTTGCTTCCTGCAAAGAAGCCAACCCCAAAGGCTGGCTTTTATCCCTTATGGGAGGGGCCATCACCTTGCAGCCTTACTCTCGAGTCGCCCTTGCTGCTTCAGCTGCTCTTCCCTTCGAGCAGCCCTGCGCGTGCACACACTGGGCACAGGCTCCTCAGGGACTTCTTCATCACTGCTGCCAGCCTCCACAACCTCCAAAGGCAGCACTCCACTCGCTGATGGTCCTGGCCCCATCCCTGCATCACACGCAGGACCCTCGTCCGAGTCCTCACTCTCCGAGACCTCAGCCGTCTGCACCTGCTGCCGGCGAACCACAACAACTAGCAAGGAGCGCCTGGCTCTCCCAGGAGCAGGAAATGCTTTGCGGGAGGGGAGGCGGGTCTGGGGGAAGCCATTGTTCTCCTCCTGGCTTTTCTGACGGCTTTTCTCTCCCGCAAAGGAACTGCACGCCATCTTTTCTTGGCTGGTAGAGAACATTTTTGGCAGTTTCGATGGCATCATTTCCGGGTGGAACCTCCGCTGCCTACAAGGCAGGACAAACTACACCGAGTACAACGTCGCGCTGGACTTCCTGTCCCCCGGGTGAGTTGGCTCAGCCCCGAATCTGTGCCTCTTGGAGCCCCTCGTGGAGAATTGGGTGCTGATGTATTGCTAATCTGTGACCGCAAAATCCTCCCGCGGTTTGACCCACAAGGGTCCGTGTGGAAGCGTCGCAGCATAAAGACGAACCTCGGGTGGCTTTTTCCTTTCCTTTCTTTTGGCAGAGGCCCGATGATGAAGTTGGTTTACAAGCTCCAAGCCGAGGAGTACAGATACGAGTTCCCCGTCTCCCACCTTCCGGTCAGTGTCTGGGAAGGAGGGGGGGTGTTAGAGGGACGTCGAGCTCAGTACAGGTAGTCCTCAACTTACGACCACAATCGAGCCCAAAGTCTCTGTTGCTAAGTGAGTTTTGCCCCATTTTACGACTTTTCCTGCCACGGATGTTAAGTGAGTCACTGTGGTTGTTAAGTGAATCAGGCTTCCCTGTGGACTCTGCTTGTCAGAAGGTTGCAAAAGGGGGAAATCACGTGACCCCGGGGCCCCGCAGCCGTCGTAAATGCGAGTCAGTTGCCAACTATCTCAATCTGGATCCCGTGACCACGGGAAGCTGCAGTGGTTGTAAGTGTGAAAAACATGGTCATGGGCCTCTTTTTTTCAGCGATGTAACTGTGAACGCTCACTAAATGAACTGTTGTAAGTTGAGGACTAGCTGTGCAGAAGTTTGAGCTTGGCCGTCTTGGACTCCTAATTCCTTGCATGGAAATTCTATCTGCCTGTGAACTTTGTGAGCTGCTCTTCAACTCCCCCCCTCACCCTTTGGCCACCCTGCCCAGGGCCGCTTGGCAGCAGTGGTGATGCCAGCAGTGCTGGGGGCTGAAGCAGCAGCTGGGCTCTCAGCCGCCTCTGCCAGCCGCTGCCCCCTGGGCCGCTATTCCAGGTGCTGCTGCCGCCGAGAGACGCTGGGCAGGGCAGCCAAAAGGGCAGAGAGAAGGCAGGTAGGGGGATTCGAGAGGGGCCAGTCCCTTCCCCTTCCCCAGGCTCGGAGGGGCCACCCCAGGGTGGGTCCTCACCTAACAGCCAGCGAGATATGGTTAACAATGGCATGGGAGGTGCTGGGATTGCCGTCCTGAAGTGATGGGGTCACACGACATTGTGCTTAGCGACTGCTTTGCTTAGCGGTAGGAGGGCTGGTCCCAATGGCCACCAGTAGCTGGGGGCTACCAGTGCAATTAAGGGCGAACCTTAGCCTGAGTTTGATGTGTTTTCATTACGTTGCATCTTAGGAGGCATGTGGTTGTTTTACCTCCCCTTTCACAGGGCCCAGTGAAGACCTCAATTCAAGAGCGGATTTTGCCAGAATGTTCTTTATATCACAACAAAGTCCAGTTCCCTCCCACCGGGGGCCTGAGTTTGAACTTGATTCTCAGTATCCTTTGGCCGTGTGAGTGTGGAGCACAGCAGTGCGTGAGGGGATGGGCTGGAGGGAGCAGTGGCTGCTGCCATCATGGAAGTGGCATGCTGCCATCCCCTTGGTCCCCCGACACCTAAACTTGGCTGGCGCCATCAGGTTGCGCACCATGTGGCTCTCGCTGCTGCTGCTGCTTTGACCAGGGAACTTAGCAGCCACTTGGCTCTGGCGAGGATGTAATTTGCAGACAGGAGTTGCATGCTGGGAAGACAATTGGCAGCCGCTTTTAACCACAAAGCAAGTTCCCACAGGTTCCTTAAGGGAAAAGGGATTATCCTACAGAAATCTTGGCAACTCTTTAGCACTTAATTTATCCTAAGCTTATAATGCTTATGAGTTTATAATGGGTACTTCCTTGATCTCCTGCTAATGCCTTGGGTGGCCTGCTTTCCTGGAAAAGGAAGACTGTCCTGTGCTTGCAACAACCGGCAGACCCCTCTGCTGTCCTCGCTTTAGAGAAGGCCGTTGCAGTTGAGTTGCCCGCCGTGAGGCCACTAGCTCTCGCTCCCCAGTAAATAGGCGGAGAGCCTTCCCTGCTTTCGTGGGGAGGGAGTCCTTTGGATGGGTACAGCTTGCAAGCCATGGGCTTCCCCGTGGGTCAAGGTGTGGCAAGCGAGGTCGGCTCTCTGGGAGGTTCCTCCTGCTGCTTAAGTTGCGTGGGAATCTTTTGCGCTACGACTGAAGTCGCCGTAGTCCGAAGGACTGTGTAAAACTGGGAGTCCGTCAAATAAAATAGCAGCCGGCCTGCTTGTCCTTCTTGATTGCAGGAATTTGCTTCCTTGACCCCCTCCTGCCAGATCCGTACGAATATTACATGTTCTGCTTTGCCATCAGCCTCCTTACCCAGAGGGTGAGTACAGTTCGGCCTTCCCTGGTCAGGCCACTCTTCTTGTTGGTGTAGCACCGTTGATTTACCTGGGGGGCTTTTAAGCCACTTCAATATTCACTTCCTTGTGGGAAAGCCAGGACGTCTTTTCTGAAGCGGGGCTCCCCCACGCCCAGTCTGCGGCCAGGAACTGGGTTGCGCATGTGGCGTGCGTGCACACAAAACCATCCCTCCCCCCCTCCCCCCCGCCAGTCTACGGAGCTGGAAAGATTGGGGAGTACTGTTCTAAAGTGCTAGCAATACTGCACCAATCTTCTGCGCCCTTCAGGTCGGTTACTCTTTCATGGCTCACCCAAACCCTTGGCGGTGCCTCCAGTTTGAACAAATTCTTCTGCTCATCAAAGGAAAGTTTGCATTTTTGTTAGCCTGCAGGAGTTGATCACTTTTAGCCTTCTCCTGTTGTTTGCCAAAGTTGCCATTTGGTGGTTGTTTCTGCGTGCCGTGTGCCGTTTTAGGTTACCTGGAGATGAAATCGTGGCGTGTTGCTCCAGGTGGAAAGTTACCTGCCCCGTTCTAGGTGGCAAGAAAGCTTCAAAGCGCCTTGAGTTGGAAGTCTTGGCCTCCTGCCGATTGGACGGTGAAGCCTCTTAAGCCTAAGGCGACTCTTTCTGTTTGTGCTTCAGGGCCTCTCCACCACCTGCCCCATCAGCATGTCGAACAGCGCTTACTTCATCCTGGTGGACCGGTACTTGAAGTGGTTCTTGCCCACAGAAGGGAGCGTCCCTCCCATCCCTTCCTCGGAGCCCGGAGGGGTGGTCCCTTCACCTGCTCCCCGGTGGGTGTTTGCTCTCCTGCTCTGCTGGTTGCTGCTGTAGAAAAGCCAGTTGTGGGGGGAAATATGTGGAAGGAGCTTGCAGATTAGGACTCGGCAAAAAAAAAAAGGCCTCCGGTGGCTTTCAGGCTGCTAGGAATTTGCAAGCGGAGATGCTGACGTTGGCAAGTGACCACAAGGGTACCAAGTGTGTTGGGTATGTCTGCTGCCTTAAGTTACCCATAAAGTAGTAAAGGTGGGAGAAAAATCTAATTAAGTGGCAGCAACAGGAACAGTGCTACTGAATGCCATTTCTGAAATGGTTCCTGTTTTCATTTTCTGCAAATGATCCCTATTGGCAGAAAATGAAAACAGGAACCCTTTCAGAAATGGCATTCGCTAAATTGACTAAAACGTATTCATGGAACAGCGGAGGTTTTGCAGCCCGCTGAGCCCATTCCCCCTCTTTGGCCTTTTTTCAGTCGTGCCGACTAGAATATTTGGCGAATCATTTCTAAAAAACGGGGGCAAAAGCCTGAACATTCTACAGGGGGCAAAAGTGGAGGAGGGAGGTCAGAGGCTGTGGGTTCGAGGCTCCGCCCCGAGGAACTGCTTGCTTGCCCCGGCCTTGCGTGTCCTCCTGCTGGAGCGTTCTGGATGCTCTCTTTTGACGGGCTCTTCTCCTTTGCCAAGCTCTCCCACAGTGTCTTTCACCTCCTACGGGATGCACCCCGCCAGCCTCCTGAAAAGGCACGTGGCTCACCAGACGAACGCAGCGGACCCCGCTTCCCAGGAGATCTGGAGATCGGAGACGTTGCTTCAGGTGGGTGGCCTCGGCAGCGGCTGCGCTCTTTCCTTGGCCCAGGGGAGCGTGGAGAGCCGCCCTCTTGCAGGGGCTGCGCCTCCGTGTGGAGCTGACCGTAGCCGTACAGGACCCACCAACTGAAACACGGCTATTCTTCAGTCTATCTATTTTTGGGGGAATTTGGTTCGGCTTATTAGGGCTGATAATTAGGGCGAATAATACTTACATTGGTTAAAAAAAAAAAAGGCTAAACAACAAATAGTGGCAAGTGTTGCCTACTCGCATAAGAGCTGAAGTGTACCTTAAATGGGATGATGGATAAGGAATGGAATAAAGAACCACAGCCTTGGAAAGGTTGGGGAATGATCTGGCAGAGGGTTCCCTCCTTGTCCCTCCCCAAGGGGGCTTGTTTGGGGGTTCCCTTCGGCCCCTGACTGAGTCCCTCCCTCCTCAGGTCTTTGTGGAGATGTGGCTCCACCACTATTCGCTGGACACGTATCAGAAGATGCAGTCTCCCCACATCAAGGTAAGCAGTGGGCCAGGGCTTCTTTTGGGGGTGGGGAGGGAAGGGGCTGCCAGACCTGGGCAGTGGCAGCGGGTGGAGGGAGCTCCTCTCTGCAGTGGAGTGTGGAACACCTCCTGGAATTGGGACATGATTTGGTGAGGCTGAGGGGCATGGATTGCTCAAAGGAAGGGCTTTGGCTGCTCTAACCCCTGGAGTTCATTGCCAGAACCACTGGAAGGGCTTCAAAGGGGGCCCTACAGAGTCAGGAGGAGGCCCTGCTGACTGGCCGTAGCCATCAGAGGGACGAGAGGCCTCTCAGCCTGTGGCTGGGAAGCCAGGCAGGTCGGCTCTGGCCGTCCTGCTTTCCAACTGCTTGATGCTGGGCAAGGGGGCCAGCCGTGGGTCTGGCAGGGCTCCAGGCCGCCCGGTTGAGATGCGGGCCTCCTTTCATCTCCTTGGACTTTGCACAGCCATTAGCCGCGGAAAGCGCAGCAGGGCCACTGCGGTTCCTGCTCAGCCTGTTCATGCAACCCTAACCCTGGGCTAGATAAAGGCCGGTGAAAAGGCCCACTAGTACCAATCCAGGATTGGGGAAACTGCAAAGAGACTTGGACATCGCAAGCTGCAGGAATTGGACCCTGTGGGGCTTCTGTAATCTTTCGGTTTAGTTTGAGTTCAAATAAGGGTTGCTCAGCGAAAGCCTGGCGAATGGAATCGCCTGGAACACAGAAACATTGGCCTCTTTCTTGCTGGTAGGAAAGAGGATTTTCCTTGCTCTTTGGGAATGATATCAGCTCTTGTAATAATCCAAACAGCTCCATCTTCTTAGCCATAACCTGCAATGGAGGCTGGGAGAATGAGTCTCTCTCTCTCTCTCTCGGTCCATAGAACAGCATCAAAGAGCGGCGGTTCTAAAATTTTAGATCTCAGAACGGAATTCTTTGGAGTCTCACCTCGTTCCTCACTCCCAGGGTTTCCCAGCCAGCAGCAGCCCTCGGAAGCGCACAGCTCCTGTTCTGCGTGTTGTCATGCTAAGAGGAGAGTTGGGGTCATTAAGTCGAGGAAAGGGCTTGTTGGGGACGGAAGCCGAGCCGCCTCGAAAGGAGTTCGGATGTAGTCACACAGTTAGCTGAAGTGAGACTTCACATTATTGTAGATGCATTTTCTCTTGCAAGAAGTCCTTGTTCTCTTGCAAGAAATCCAGTAATTTTTCCAACCCCACCAAGAAACCCATTCTCTAGAAATCTCCTTCCTTCCTTTGTAAACAGTTCTGCCTCCTATCTGTTTTGAACATTCAGAGGCAAGAAGCAAGCTATGATTAACTTCTAGGCCAGGATGGTGCAAATTGAACAGGTGGCCAGAACTTGGTTAGGGCCGGTTACGGTAGAAACCTGGGGTGTGCTAGAGGGTGCTATTTGGCAGACGCCGCTGCCGCAGGGCTGTGGCGTTGTGATGGTTGACTTCCTGAGACTCATCCCTTGTCCTTCACCCCCATTTGCCTGGGTCTGTTCTCATTGTTTTCTTTTTCTTTTTGTTTCTTTCCTTTTTCATCTCTCTCCCCTTTCCCATCCCTTCTTCTGTTGTCTCTCAGCTGGAGGTTCTCCACTACCGGCTCTCTTTATCCAGCATCCATCCTGTCCAATCCAGCCACCAGGCCCTCCATACATACCAAGTATTTCCACCTTTTCATTTCCTTTCCTTTCCTTTGTATTTTAAACGAAACCCCTGTTGAATCAGAGGCAGCTAACGCCCTCCCCTTAGTTCTCCCCTTTCCCCACGGCAGCAGCAATAACTGGGGTAGCTCTCAGGAACACGAGATAGGGGCCAGGGTCTTCAGCCCCCACTGCGCTAATAGTTGCTGCTGTGCTGTTAGGGGACCACCCAGCAAGATTAAAGGCCAGGAGAATTAGGGTGGGGTGTGGAGGTAGCAGCCCAGCCACAGCAAGAAGTTTCTGGAATCCCTGCAGCTTAGGAGAAGCTCAGACCAAGCAATGGGCCCTGCTGGCCTTGGCGGAAGGCTCCCCGTGCCCACATCCCTTGATGCTCCAGGAAAGAGGAAGCACCTCTGGGCTCGAGGGATGCATCCACAGGAGGGATCCCAGTTCCCTTCTAGCCAAAGCCAGCTGCTCACAACTAAAAGTCCTACCAATCAATCGGTGTGACTCTTGAGGAGGAGGAAGCCCCGCGAATGAGTCCTGCACAGCCGGTCCTGCTGGGATCAGATTCTCTGCATCCTTTAGCTCTCTTCCTTTGTAACATCTCTGGCCAAGAGGTTGATGGTGCTCTTGAGAAAGAGCATTTGAACTGCCACTCTGTGCATGAGCTCTGATGTATGGCTTGTACTAGAATGGGCTCCGTCCCCCTCCCCTGCCATGGTTTTCAAGCCACACAGCTGTTTCACTCTAAGCCAAAACCAAACCAGATTCGTTTTGGCCCAGCCTGGTAGCTCAGGCCAGCCGTTTTGAGGGCTGGGGGGGCCTTTTATTCTTTATGCTGGAGTCCCTGCAGCTCAGAGGTAGGGACAGCGGCCCTCCTTGCGATGTGTCCCAATTGAGAGGTAGCAACCAGCAGTGATGGCAATAACCCTTAGACTTATATGCCGCTTCACAGCGCTTGACAGCCCTCCCTAAGCGTTTACAGAGTCAGCCTATGGCCCCCAACGATCTGGGCCCTCATTTTATCGACACGGGAAGGACGGAAGGCTGATCCAAACTGTTTAGTAGGGTCTGTTCTGTGTGATTTGAGCCACGGAGATGGTTAGCTAGCTCCACTCAAAAGAGCCCTATTACAGGGTTTAATAACATTTTACACCTTGGTTGTATATTTCAAAGAAAAGGTGTATCCCAAACTACCATGTATTAGGGAGTGGCTATATGGTAGCAGTAATCTAAGTTCACCTGACCCAGAGGTCTTTTGTTCTTCTGCTTGAACTATCGTTCAGAACCTCAGCCCTTGCAGAGTCCTGTGAATTCCTCACCTGGTAAATTTCCCCTCCTAAAAATAGTTTATAGGTCCAATATTTTGATCCAGGAGAAGGTGTCCAAATGAATTCGGCCGGTTGGCTTTTGCTAATTGGCAGAATTCCAAGGGCCCAAGAAGAGGCAGGGAGGATGGGGGGCCTTGAGCCCTTTTGTCTTGGTCTTTTCCAAGCTCATGTTCAGATCAAAGGTGGGTGAGAGCCAAGAGAAAGAACTCACGAGGAGACCTACGACTCCGTCCTTCTATTGGCTGTGCAGAGGTTGTCCTTGGTCCTCCCCAGTGACCCTCCTTGTCTGTTGATCCACTGAGGAAGTAGAGGGACAGCTGGCCAAATCCACTCTCCTATGGACAGAAATTGCTCTCTCTTCAGTAGCAACCAGTTTTTCTTTCTGAGCTCAAGTTTTTGGGTGTATTTCACTTCCGGGCCATGGAATCAGTTAGGTTTGCGTGTGTGTGTGTTTGTGTACACGCGCATGTTCTTGGTTCGGATGCATTTTCGGTGCCTCTTCTGGACTTCCTTGGTGGTGGGGACCTAACTTTATTTCTGTCCTTCTCCTTCTTCATCTTCTTTGTCTTTGTCTTTGTCTCCTGCTGTTGCTTTCAATCCAGGAGCCTTTCAAACCCACCGAGGAGCACGTCTTGGTTATCCGGTTGCTTCTGAAGCACCTCCACGCCTTCAGCAACAGCGTGAAGTCAGAGCCGATTTCTCCTTCAGGGCACTCCCACACCGCCAGCCCACTAGAGGAATTCAAAAGGTCTGTACTTAACGGAGAAAATAAAACCTGGGCTTGCTGGGGGGGTTGGCTAGAACAGTGTTTCTCACTAGGCTGGCAGGGGAATTCTGGCGGTTGAAGTCTTCAAGCTGCCGAGGTTGAGAAAGGCAGGCCCAGAAACAGAGTGGATTTCCCTGAGCTTGGAATAAAAGATGTGTGAATTCAACAAAGCAACAGCAGTGTTTTTTGTACTGCCAGCACCCTCTTCTTGCTCTCGTGTAGGTGCCTCTACTTCAGTTATGTGATGGGAAATGTGCTTAATATTTATTTATTTATCGAATTTTTATTGCCGCCTATTCGCCCATGGCGACTCAAGGCGGCTTACAGAATATAAAACCACATTTAAAACAATAAAAACTAACAAAAAAGGATCAAGTAAATTAATACAGTACAATATAACAAAATCACCCCACCCCAACTCCCACCCACCCCGCCCCGGCGACAGCAGATCACGCAAGCCATTTGATGGGCTCCCTCCCGCTCTGGGTTCCCCGGGCCCGCTGGCAGAACCAGGTCTTCAGCGCCTTTCGGAAGAGAGATAGAGTGGGGGCCACTCTAATCTCTGGGGGGGAACGATGTCCCAGAGAGAGGGAGCCACCACGGAGAAGGCCCTTCTTCAGGGTCCCCCCAGGTGTATCTCCCTCAGGGATGGGACCCGCAATGTTCCCTGCCTCCCCGCTCTGATGGGTCAGGTAGATGTGACTGGCAGGAGACGTTCTCTCAGATCACTTGGTCCCAAGCCATGAAGGGCTTAATGATGTGGAAGCTAAAATATTCAGCTTTTTGTACTTCAGCAAGCATAGTTTACTCCTATGCAGCCAGACTACTTGACCGATTTCGTATGCATTATTAGTTTAGCAGATTTGGAAAATGTTTTGCCTTAATTTTAGGAAAAAAGCACTTTGAACAATATAAATTTACTGCAAACTGAACCTGCAAATTAATAACAACAACAATAACAATAACAGCTCTCAGGACCTTGATTAGAACTTGAACTGTTAAGTTTTCGCCAGTCCTAGACTTCGAATCAAATTGAAGATTAAATCAACAACAACAACAACATGTAATAGTGATACCCATTGTTGGGGCACTTGGTACCATGTCGAAGAATTTTATAAAATACATCAAGAAATTGCAGCTTCCTGCAATAATATCAGCAGAACTGCAAAAAACTGTGCTACTTGGAACATCGTACATCTTAAGTAAGTACTTGGTTGATACCTAGGGTGTTGGCAGCAACCCATATCAACCATTAGCACCAGTCAGTGGTAGTTGACTGACTTTCATATTTAATGAATAAAGTTAATAATAATAATAATAATAATAATAATAATAATAATAATAATAATAATAATAATAATTAATAATAATAATAATAATAATAATAATAATAATAATAAATAATAATATAATTGTCATCAGTAAATTGCAGAAGGCGGCTTTGCTTGAAACAGGTTCCATCCTGTGACAAGATCTCTTAACACCATCAAACATCCAAATTTGCCTATTCCAGGTTCTTGGTAAGGACTTGATAGGTAGACACAAATGCCAAACCCACTCTGAACATCTGGCTGACTTTGTGAATAATAATATAATAATAATTGATTATTACTATAAGAATATTAAATCACAAAATATTGTGGCCTGGCCATCAAAACGACATGATTATGGATGAAACATGTGACAGTGATACCCATTGTCATCAGGGCAAGAAATTGCAGCTTCCTGCAATAACACCAGTGGAACTGCAAAAAACTGCACTACTCAGAACATGGTACACCTTAAGAAGATACTTGGTTGATACCTAAGGTAATGGCAGCAACCCATATCAACCATTAGCACCAGTCATGTTTAATGAATAAAAGAGATAATAATATAGGAAGTGATATCACTATAAATAAGAGGCTGGATGTATTCCTTCTATTTGACTTTCCAGTGGTCAAACGTCTAGGATGCTGTGTCCAATTTTTGGGTGCCACAGACAGATTGGAGGAAATATTTTCAGGGATTATGAAAGCCAACCCAAAATTGGAAGTTATTGGGTGTATTTTATCTGAAGCATTTAAGATGAGGAGAGGGGTACATGTGGCTACTTTACAAGATAGATGATCTCTGGTCTAAACCAAACTGCCTTGGCATCCAGCTTGGTTGAGGGTTTGTTGTTTTTTTCAGTCTAAGAACAGTAAAGTTAGAATGGTCTCTTGTGAAGCTCTGGAGGAACCCTCGTCCTGGTGTCATCCTGAGCCGATAGTCCAAAGTAGCAGCTCCCTGACTCAGTATTCATCAAAACTCAACTCTGCTCTTTGAAGAGAAGAAAAAGGTCAAACCCCACCCCCAAACGTATAAAAACTCTTTACCCTCTGACATTTTCAGCATAAACCGAAAGGTTCAGTACTTTTTGGTTTGTCATTTTTCCAGGAACTCTGGAACTGAAGCTTTCAACTAGCCTCTTAAGTTACTTGCTTGGATGCCTTGGCACAGGGGTGTCAAACTCGATTTCACTGAGGGCTGCGTAAGGGTTGTGTTGGATCTTGTCGGCTGGGGGTGGACCTGGCTGGGGTGGGTGTGGCCAGCTCAAGGTCACTTGTATCGGGGCACCTGTAGTGGCCCGAGCGCTCTGCCAGCAAAAGCAAGCTCCCGAGCTCTGTTTTCAGCTGCGGGGCCCTCCTGCAATCCTCTGCCAGTGAAAATGGGGTTCTGGAGGGCCAAGCTTCATTTTTGCCAGCAGAGGCACTGCGAGCCGGTCCTTCGCGCAATTTCTAGGGTGCCCCTGCGGGCCAGATCTAAACGCCCCGTGAGCTGAATCTGTTTAGACACCCCTACCTTGGCAGGAAGCCAAAGTTGGAAGGAGGCACCGAGGCCTCGAGTCACCGGAGTAATCCAGATTAAAGCCCTCCAGGCAGTTGACTGTCCAGCTGGAATCCCTCGGGCAAAAGAGGGCTCTCCGTCTTTTGGGGTGGTTGGTGTCTTGCCAAACCGCCTTAACGCTTAAGGAAATCGCATCGTAACATTTAATCAGAATCTTCCTCCTCCTAACTGGGATGAGTGTCGGGTGCGTGGTACTCTGCTGTTACAGCAGGCCTTGCCCTTTTTTTGTACGATGTCGGTTAGGGCCGGGGTCTCCAACCGCGGCAACTTTAAGACGTGGACTTCAACTCCCAGAATTCCTCAGCCAGTGCTGGCTGAGGAATTCTGGGAGTTCAAGTCCACAAGTTGCCACGGTTGGAGACCCCTGAGTTAGGGCACTTGTAGAAAGCTGTCCTGTCAGTGGAAGGGTAGCTTTTCCCTCTGCATCACATTTCATTGGGGCAAAGGTTTTTTTTTTTTCCCCTTAAAGGGGCCGGTTGGCTAACTTTGTGGGCTGTCTTTGCAGGATTGTGATCCCTCGGTTTGTCCAGCAGAAACTCTACATATTTCTCCAGCACTGCTTTGGTCACTGGCCTCTGGATGCATCTTTCAGAGCTGTAGGTACCGTTTGGATGTTGGTTGTGCTCGTATTTGTCCTTTCAGGGTGAGGATTTGAGTTTCAGGGCATTGATAGAATTAGTACTGCTGATTTCTAGGAAGTCTTGGAAGTTCTGCCATGCCTTGTAAAGCAGGATGAGGTTGCACAGCCTCAGTCAATAAAATAATAGTGGTGCTTTAAAAAAAACCCCAAGATTATTAAAAATATCACTCTTCGCTTCTACAGCTAAATTATCCCATATAATACTAACAATAATCAGTAGTATAGTTACTGATATTTATCACATAAGGAAAAATTACTAACTTACAAAGAAATAATATATAGCAATGGCCCTTATATACCGCTTCACACTGCTTCACAGCCCTCTCTAAGCGGTTTTACAGAGTCACTCTCTTGCCCCCAACCATCTGGATCCTCATTTTACCCACCTCAAAAGGAGGGAAGACTGAGCCAACCTCGAGCCTGGTGGGATTTGAACTGCCAAATTGCAGGCAGCCAGTAGGCAGTAGAAGTAGCCTGCAGTACTGCACTCTAACCACTGCGCCACTTGGCTCATCTCTATGCCATAAATATAATGGAAAGAGCCAGAAGAGGGAAAAGGAGCAAGTTTCGTTTTGGGGAGTTAAGACGAGGGAATGAGAGAAATTATTAATAAAAATGCAGTTGACAACAGTGAACAAAACAAAGAGACCTGAATAAATGCAATAAAATGGCACATAAATGGCACCTAAAATTTACAACCCAGATTGAAACCGTTAATTAAATCTTGGCCCTACAGGCGGGCAGTGTGGAGTCTTTCCTTCGCATTAGTAGAGTGTCCCTTAAAAGAGAGTTGACCGTGTTCATTTTCATGCGGTGCCCCAGTGTTCCCAGAGACACCTGACAACTGTTTTAGCAATTTTGTAAGTGGCATGGTAAGTCCAAATCCATTAACAGATAGATAAATGCCAACGTTGGGAATATAATCGAACAAGGCATTGACATATTGAAATAATCTTCAAGAGCCTGGCTTACCACGATGAGATCATCGTTTGACACAAGGCAGTTGTGATGGGCTGTGAGAGATGAGGAAGAGAAGAAAGGCAACAGGCAGATAAAGAGGAATCTCAGGCCGAAGCAAGGAGTTTGAGGAAGCATCTCACTGCATCCTGCTTTGTTCTCTTCAGGGCAAAGGCAGTGGAGGAAAAGAGCAAAGGCCAAGATTCTGTTACTAGATGGGCCTGGGACAACTCACCGCGGGACAAGAGTTACACTGATATCAAAGAAATGATGGGATAGAATCATTAAAGAAAGGAGGGGCAAAATGAAACACGAATGACAAAAATTAAAATATTTTTTAAAGTATTTTAAATTAAATTGCATTGTTGAATTGTCCCGTGGTGAGGTGGCCACAGTGAGTTGTCCTGTTCCGTATTACTATAACCCTACATGTAATAAAAGTAGTTTCAGTATTGGTCCCTTTTGGCGTCCACGTCTGCTCTGCCTGGTAGCCCCCCACCCGCTTCGTGGGGTGGATGTGGGCATCCTTCACCAGAACTTCGCAAGGTGGTTGGTGAAGGAAGCTTTCAGGGCAGACCTAAATTTAACACCCCATTTGTTCCTGCAGGTTCTGGAGATGTGGCTGAGCTACTTACAGCCTTGGAGATACGCACCAGAGAAACAGCCGCCAAGCGTGGAGGCTCCACCCCGGAGTGTCTCGGAGAAATGGTGCGTCCTGGGCTGGGCCCCTCGGGGCCCCTGCAGGTCTGGCCAGCTGCCTTTGCTCCCAGCATAAGGCAGGGTGGTTGGGGTGGTGGTGGTTGGGGTGCTTTTCTGGGCACCCTTCTCTCCAGCCCTGGCCGTTGCTGCTTACATGGGGCCATTGGGGTCCCTGGGAAGGTCCCTCTTGTCAGTGGCGGTCTTTCTGATGCCCTGATCAGCCTCTCCGGGGCCCAGGAAGGGCCACACGTGTGGCTGGGTTTGCTGGCGCTGGTTGTCCTGGGTGCCTGTGAGCTGGACGGAAGGGAAGCAGCTCTCCGACTGACCATGCTCTCCGCTGGCTGCGTCCCTCAAGGGAGCCTTTTGTCCAGGAGAACCTGCTGCTCTACACGAAGCTCTTCGTCAGCTTTCTGAACCGAGCTCTCCGCACTGACCTGGTCAGCCCCAAGAACGCCCTGATGGTCTTCAGGGTGGCCAAGGTGTTTGCTCAGCCCCGCCTGGCTGAGATGATCCAGAGAGGTAGGGAGAGGCCCCCACCCCACCTTCTCTCCGCCCGCAGCCAGTGCAGCATCGGGGGGGGGGGCGCTTTGGGGACCCCTTCCCGATACCCCAGAGGGCACCTGGTCGGCCATATGAGGCTTGAGCCCCTGCCAACTCCTTGGCCTTGGAAGCCGCCCCCTTTCCGTGGTGGCCAGGAGCTGGCCCAAGCCTGAGGCCGGCCGGCCGTTCCCGTCTCTCTGTGCAGCAGAGCAGCTCTTCCTGGAGGCCGACCTGAGCCTTCCCCACCGCCAGCATCGCCTCTTCCTGACTCCCTCGCTGGGGGGCAGCTTCCTGTCCGGCCGGGCCCCCACCATCACGGACGCCTCCTTCAAAGTGAAGAGCCACGTCTACAGCCTGGAAGGGCAGGACGTCCAGTACAGGCAGATGTTTGGGACGGAAGTCAGAAACCTGGTAGGTTGGTTGGCGCTGCTGAGTGGATTGGGCGGACCCTCCATCGAAGGAGCGGGGGCCCTCTGGCTAAAAGCTGGGCCTGTGGCACCAAAGCCCCCCCCCCCC